ACTTGTATGTGATCCCAAGAAGCCAATTTTTCGTCAAAATGAAAGTTATATTTCATCAAGTTGTTTCGGACAGCTTTTATTATGTGTGGTGGATCAAATACATAGAAGATCTTTCTACCTTTGTGCCAAAACCATGGTTGTGTTGGTGTATATAACGCCAAGGCTTTTAATCATCTTTTGGAAATTGGAGCCCAAATCAGAAACAACAGTTGTAACATGGAGTCCAATTGATGTTACTTCATCAATCATGTCCAACAACTTAGCTTTGATCTTATCGCTGGGGCAGGATTCATGGACTAGAAGATATCCCAGGGGCTGTTTCCAGTTTTCATTTATACCACGGGCCATGAAGACTAGTGCAGATGTTGCAATGAGGCTGCTTCTCTCTCCCTTACCAAAATCGTCAACACCAATGACTTGATCTTTACCAGGATCATACAACAGGTTAGCCTTAAGGGCCATCTCATCCATTGTGATAGTGCACAACTTACTGGACTCGCTCATAATGTTGACTTTTCTGGCTAGAACTTCCTTTGCAGCTGGGGTCAGTTTTGGAGCAGTTGGAAATGCAGCTACCCATTTCATCAGACTACTTTTGGATGGAAGCTTGAAGAATTTCGACAACAATTTGTACGCCTTTCCACTGATGTAATAAAGGGAAAGAGCGAATGATTTCATCTCAGGACTGTATTGCCTTTTATTCTTTTTCTTGTGCAAGTCTATCTGGAGTGAGATGAATGTTACAATATTTTCTGGTAGCATGGTCTGAAGAGCCTCTAATATGGTATGCTTATCTATGTTGTTGCTTTTCTTCTTTTTCATATTTATAGCTTTACGGAGTCGTTGTATTCTTTTCTTCTGCCGAGCATAAACCTTGTTCACTTTTTTCTGCTTAGCATAATTAGATGTTTTACTAGTACCACCTGTAATTGATAAAAGAAATAGTGTTAATACTATTAGCCTGACTAAAAATTATAAAGTACAGTAAATGACCTTAACGAAGCTTAACCTTGATTAGTAGGTTAAACAGGATTGTGTTGTGTTCCAGAGTCAATTTGCATTGGTCTTGAGGATGGACCTAAGAAAGGACCTAAATATTAGTGGGACATTGATTAATTCATTTTTAAAGCTGTTCAGAAATCTAATTGGTTAAAATATTTTTTGCAGGAGATCCTTTGAAGAAGAGGCTTGGTGTCATACCTGTAACTTCATCATCACCATTAACTGAATTTGAAGACTCTGTACTTGAATCATTTAAAGGAATGTTGATGTTCACAGTGGGAGTACTAGTTGATGGAACTGTATGGGTGCTCAGCCCAGAGTCTGAAAATAACATTTATATACCTTTTCCTGTAATAACTGCAGATTCATGTATGTATACAGCCCTCGAAAACCGTCAAAATTGAGGTCAGCAAAAAATGCAGACCTAAATCTAATCTACTGTAGGTCGGCACGTCTCGGCATTTTTTAAAATCTGTTTCCATGTCTTGTAGCACTAGTAATCATGCATTCGCGAATCATTGAAATCAGAATATAAAGCATGCCTTTTTCTGCGGAAACACAAACTTTAGTAACACGACGACTTTTCTTTTGGAATCTTACCTAAATTATATATAGAATACCCGTCAATTTTTAAACCTGACACCGAAGTGTGTTCAGTTCGAACTATGAATCGAATTCTATATTTCAATGACTTTTTAACAGCAATCGGCACCAACCATTTTTTTTACTTTGGCTGAATTAAGGTCGGCAAAAATTTGCCAACCTGGGAAGTTGATAGGTGGCAATGCCGACCTCGTTCTCAAGGGATGTGTATAATATAGCTGACTATGTTTAAGCAATGTAATTTTGAAGTTGCTTACAGCTATATAGTGCTACTAGTGCTATATCCCTACTAGGGGAGCACTACAGTCCAGAACTCAGTTCCGGTCAGAACCCCGATTTTTCATATTTCCAGTTCCGGCTGGAACTAATAAAAAGACATTGCTGGAACTGGAACTCTGTTATTTTCAGAGAGATAGAATATCGAACATTGGAATATCGAACAGCCTAACAAAAGTTCGCAGTAAAGAGAAATTTGGACTACACAAGGAAAATATATACCGTTAACACTTCATTATGATGTTTAACGTTTGTCAGTCTTTTTATTCTAACATTTGCTAGCTCTCTCCTTGATCAGTTGAAGTGCCTGGCTGTCTGGCAGCAGACAGAGTAACATACGACTATATGTGGCTTGATTAATCCAGTTCCAGCCAGATCCGGCCGGTTCCGGTGCACCCCTAATTCCTACCCCCTCCCACCCCACCCCTTGTCTATTACAGTATATGTAAGTAGAGGGGGGTACCGAATAGGTACTGTATGTCCTTGACATGCCTGGCCTGGCCCAGCCATAGTAATATCACTACATGCAGTTTATTTATAGTGTGTTTCTTAATTACCTGTATCAAAATAGTCTATGTCTGTAACTTCATGTATGAATTGTTGTGCAGGTACAGGTTTTAATCCACAATCTAAAAACTCAGGTTATGTTAGTAATTTTACTGTGGTTTCCTTTCTGCTGACAAAAAATTCAATTTATGCAGTTATTTCAAGATCATTGGAATATACTTTGCAAGCACCTTTACGTAGCTGTTGTTCGTTGGATTTGTCAATTACCGTTTGCCAATTTTCCTTTTTTCTAGGAAATCAAATGTAAAAGTATTCAATGATTCGCAAAGTATATATTACTGTAGTTTGTAAATAGTGCAAATTAATTTTTCTGTAAAGTCAGTGTGTCGCCATTACAGTAAAAATTAATATTAAATCCGTATTTGATGATACAATACAAAGCGAAAGATTGTTTTTGTTACTCTTTGAACATTATTTTGCCTAATTTTTGTTTAGTTAAGTTTTTTGTGAAAAATTTAAATCATGTTTGCTTTATTTTCCTTACTATGTTTTTCTGGCGGCTCTTCCCGAACAAGTAGCCTTCGCTTTGCACCAACTTTTGGCGGTGGATTTGGGATATTAAAAAGGGTAGGAAACGCTTCACTTTTGAATCTTTTTTTGCTGGCAAACATTTCTTCCTCGAAATGGTCGCCACATATTTTAAGATTGCATAGAGATCCTGGGTCCCTTTTTATTAAGTCATTTCTTCTGCAGTTTACGGCCCATCTTTTGGATCTATATTGTATGAATTCAGATAAAAATGTGCATGTTACTACAGTAAATTGCGTAAAAACCTTCTCGTACAAGATAATTAAAAATCACCTGCACTGCAGTTTAGCGTATCTTCACAGCCTTAGCGTGTCTCACCTGCTTATATCTTTTGGGAAGCGGAAAAACGATAAATCTGGATTTTTTCTTTTGTTGTTCTTACAATTTGGTGCCGTGCACCAAGTCGTCCCACTTTTCCGTTTTCTAGCTGAACAATCCCGTTTTTCCGCCATTGTACTGTACAATGTTCACTCTTTTTAAATGACTTTTAATCCATTTTAATAATATTTAGTTTTATTTAATAATATGACTGTAAATGTAAGTATTTTGTTTACTTTCGCAGCCTTTCGTACATATGCCGCATAGGCGACAGAGCTAAATGTACACGCCACAAAAACTAAGTACAGTATGACCAGGTTTTTTCAGGGCAAATTACCACATCCGGTTTCAAAAATTACTATTTTCGGTCTGAAATTACCACGGTGCTATATTTTCCCAATTTTACCATATTTTTTCGAAAAATTCCCTAAAAATTCCCTAAAACAAGGCCAAAACCAGTTTTTTTAACCAAAATCTGTAAAATTTAGGTGTTTTTCACCAAATCTGTACATTTAAGGTCAGGAAATTTCAAATTACCACAATCGGCCGAAATTGACGAAAAATTACCACGGTAGTTCTGAAATTACCGTAGTAATTACCACAAATTTCCAATTACCACAATTGTCCAAAAATGACGAAAAATTACCACGGTAGTAATGAAATTACCACGTCTGGTCACACTGACTAAGTATATATTCATACACATTAAATACACATTTGTATGGAGCACATAATTTTTTAATACTTCAAATATAAGATAAATTTCACAACAAAACAGACCAGCCTACTTAATAGGCATTTAGTTTTCGTTAATATATTTTACTATTTAGTACGTAATTCTACCTAAATCATTATATGATTATACAGGATTGAAAAATAATATGATACTAAATATTAGACTCTCTGCATTAAATTCTAAAAACTCATTTTGTTTTACTGTATATTGAAGAAAACCAAGCATACAACCTTTCCCATATAGTTGTCCTTTTAGAATGTTGGAAAGTCATTTGTTTTTAAAAATTCCTCTTCGTGGTTAAATTGATTTGTAGTGGCTAAAATCTCCGCAGTCTATGTTCTTCGTGTCTGCAGGAACCGGCTTTAAACTTAAAAAAGACAAAGGTCAAAGTATAAAAGAAATCAATTTTACATTGGTTTAAAATATAGCCCCCTAACCTAAGTCCAAACTATTCTGCAACTTCCATGCCAAAAACAACACGAACAGTAAAAGAAACTCACCCAAAACTGGCAAGGGTTCTTGACGTTCGAACAATCGAAAAACTTCATCATCGTCTCATCGAGGCTTCCGGCGCAGCGTTGACCAAAAACCAAACAATATTTTCAAACATACATCGTTATTCCCAGAATGTAGTACTTTTAAGTGTACATGCTTTATAGTTTCTGAAACTTTGTCTTTGTTTTTCGTATTCACATTTGAAGCAAGGACGTCATGGGCCATGGCACTTCTCACTCCTCGAGTCATATAATTTCACTTTTTATCGATATCAACAAATTTTTTAAGGCATTTTCTTGTGGAAAATTTAGAATGACATCCCTTCCTGCAAAATTTGTGAAAGTCCAGCATTCCTGATGGATATATTCTTTGAAATCGTTGTTTTAGTGTCCAAATTTTGTATTTTCCCATATGCTTCCAGACAAAAAAAAACACATGACAGTAGCCTGCGAACAGGCTCTCAAGCTGAATTGAGAGCCTGCATCGATGACCAATGAATTTGAATATCTGCCCCGTAACGTTCATTTTTCCAAATATGGAATGTCTATCCTTATATGGTGTTGTTTACAACTTTCATGCAAACTAAATTTAGACCGTACAGTTTATACTGTTTTTCGAGATATAAGATATTCAAGCAAAAGTTTAAATGTTTTAAATACTGCTTTCTCAAAACAGAACATTTCGTGCTTTGAGATAAGATGGCCAAGATCAATTTGATCAGTTAATGTGTTTTTATGCATAGTGCAACAGTTGACATATATAGAGCTCAGCGGAATAATATAAATTATAGCATCTGACCAATGAGAATTTCGCGTCACGATTTGAGACGCAGATATTCAAATTCATTAGTCATCGATGCAGGCTCTCAATTCAGCTTGAGAGCCTGTTCGCAGGCTACATGACAGTGATGACACGGTCTTTTGCTTCGCGCATGCGCATTAACCTTGGGGGGACAGGAAATTCCGCGAGTTACACAACTGAATATCATTAAACTGTGATATCATGTCAACGACTGCAGTCGCACGAAAAAAGATTCACGCTGAATTCACGGCGGCAGTTATACCAATAATAGAAATCAAATCAATTAGTAAAAAACATTTTACAATGAACTTTCAATGGATTCCGAGCATGGCGGCTGGTTAACACAAAAACGGTTATATTTAAGTTTTCAAATTGTCGAGCAAATTGTAGTTGTTTTTTTATCAAATTGTAGTTGTTTTAAATGCATGCATGGTCAATTTTGGGCTATATGATTATTGAAAAATAGTAGCCAAGCATTGTCGGAATATTCTTACTGTGAAAATGTTTATCCTACCTTCGCATTATGAAGTAAAATATCCCATTTCATACCAAAATTTTCTGATTTGGAATATGCCCACATAATAATAATAATAATATTTAATATTTATATTGCGCAAATTAACATGCATATGTTATAGTATATGATCACATTCGATCAACTCGATTCCTTTTCAAATTTTTATTTCGCTCATGATGAATCTTTAAAACCCTTTTTCCTTCATTAGATATACAGAAAATGAATCCAACAATGTCTTCAAACCATCAAGTTGTTTAGGAATGTGCAGAAAACATTTTTTACTTTAGTTTTTTCAGCTCTTTTTTGCATAAACATTCCAATTCCATTTTTATTGACATTATAAATTAATGTATACGGGGGGTACGCGCATCACACAAAGATCAGGGGCGCTATCTCCGTTTCACCGCCCGTGTTTTATAGCGCCCTGATATTATATGAAAGTCGAAACCCATCAATATGCGATATATTTATATACCTTTAAAATTTGCAAAAATAGAGTCTCTATCTCATGACTATGTCTATGGTATATACAATGGGCAGAGGACTTTCAAATTCCGTGCAACAAAGTTATGGAACGACTTAGATTGTAAATTTAAAGACATTAGTAGTTTTATCACTTTTAAAAACAATTGGAACAGCGCCAGTAAAGAAGAAAGACTCATAAACAACGAACGATAAAACAGTATGTTTTTACAGAGCAATTCGTATTCTCGAAGTGCAAGCAGTCACGTGAGTGCCTAGCGATCAACCGGAAGTTCCAATGTTTATGATAATGTCAATATATAATTACTGATGTTAAACAATGTCAATATGCCATATATGGCGTGGTGTCTTCTTCTTCTTAAATTAGTGTCAACGAAAGATGACTCTTACTATAACTACAATATAAACAATTTACATAATACTGTGTTCTCTAATATCCATAATAATCTGGAGACTGGCGTTTGCGTTGAGGGCGCTGAGTAGTGGTTGGCGAGGTGCCGTTGTCGGCTGGGGTTGTTAACGTAGACGGAACGTTACTTGTCTGATATGGGCATTCTTCACACTCTTCTTCATCGGAACTGTCCCTGTTAACGAACGATATTATTATATGAAGTACTTGTTATCATGACCGCTGAAATAGTTGCGCGGGCGACAAAACGTAGTTTGAACGCTCTAGTTTATATTTTTCGACTACAAGAAGTGTGACAATATTTAGGCTATTTTTGTGTTTAAAGACTCGGAATAAAGTGGTGAATTATCTTGTGTAGACATTTTATAGACAGTTCAATTAATCGGGAACAAGTTTGGTCCTTCGACAGCCAGATCTGCTGACAAAAGAACGAGAAATTCGCGACTTTTGTTGTGAATGTGCAAGCAAATATGGCGCTTAGTACGAGTGAACAACAACAAGACTTGCCGGGAAAAGAGACAGACCAAGGTGTTGAAGCTGTAAACAGTATTCAAAATGTTCATCTCGCCGACCACGAAAGTAAAAAAGAAGAAAATACATTGAATATGGAAAACGAACAGCGAGTAAAGGAGCTAGAGCTCCAAAAGCTGACCGCTGAGCTTCAGCTGACAAAACAGCGAACCGATGATGCAAGGAAAGTTGCTGCTCTCAACAAATCCCGGGCTGAAGAAGCCGAACGAAGATTGCAAATATCGGATAATGATACAGTACAGAACTTCCTTATTAACCGTCACTTAGAAAAACATAGCCTGCGAACAGGCCCTGGGTTGCGGGCGGCGCGAAGAATAGAGGGCCTGCACGGATGATAGGTTTTCTTGGTAGTGGCGTTCGTATAGAAACGCAGGCTTCTGATTGGCTTACACTCGTTGACAAAATTACTAAAAATAGCAAATGTCAACAACAGCATTTTGAAGAATTTGAACTTTATTCATTTTAATATTATATATTATAGGACTATCGAACAAATAAAACTAGAAATGGAAACCAAAAGCAATAGCAAAGCATCACAGCAAAAAAGTCTATCATAAATGACTTGAATCTATCGCTTAAATCCAATATACGAAACTATAACAGTATTCTGAACTTCGTCTTCGGATTGACATCAGACCATAGTATATAGTACATTTTGAGGTCGTCGTGGCTTCACGGATTATTCTCATTAGTGAGCAAGTCAGCAAGCGAAGGCATACAAAAGATACCCAAATATGTACGAATAATTATATTGTCGATCCTCGCTGGCATGTCATTTAGATAAATATATATATCGTACATTAAACGTTGTACTGTTTACTGTATATTAACTGCTGACAATTTCGTCGTCGATACGGCTTCCACTATTGGCACACTCGTGATTTCGAAGAAATTAATAAATACAGAGGGCCCCCTATACCTCTTCACAAAATGCTTTCACGTAAAAATATTTTGCCTTTTCACGAGTCACGAAAAATTGAAAAAATTCCTTCACGTTCACGGAAAAATCGAAGCGATCACGATTCACGTAAAAATAAAACAAAGTTCACGAATTATTATAGGATGTCTTTCTTAATTGTAGAATCATTGTACTCGTCTGTACTTACCTCGACATGCTTTCAAACCTCCAACTATGTCGAAAACAGGCTTCTGTACATCAAGTACTTCAAAAAACAGCAACAAACCGTATTTATTCTTTGGAAAGCTGGTCACACAAAAGGTCACAAAACAGAAGATTCACGAATCACGAATATTTCTATCTGCCATTCACGGGTCACGGTTAAATCGAATCTTTCCTTCACGTGCACGTAAAAAGATTGGAAGTCATACCTTCACGAATCACGGATTAAGAAAATCATCGATCACGTTTCACGGCTAAGTAAAATAAGCCCATCACGCTTCACGCAAAAAGTATAGGGGGCCCTCAATACATGCTCATTTATCATTTATTTAGACCACAGTTAGTAAAATTTTAAACGTATTCGGTATTCCAAATCCCAATCTATCTGACCGTATTTTAGTAATAGCTTCAAAATATTCAGAACATTGTTCTTTCAGTCGCACATAGTACAAGTATTACTGTACATTCAAAGCCAATGGTAGTATTTTATTCGGCTTTATATTTGTATGTG